GTCCTCAATATCATACCAGACTAATAATATCATACCAGACTAATAACCCAGGGATGTATCTTCACTCGTCGTTCGGGGGATGAGAGAATATTTTTCACAAATAGACTCACCAACACAAAGTCGCCGATCGGCTCCTTTTTACTGAGCGATCCGGCACGTGCCGCCGCAGTAGATTTTATTAGCGATGGGGTTGTGCGGGTCCTCCTTGTCTGCGGATGAAAAGCAGGAAATCGCACGCACCCGGAATATCGAGGAGCAAAATGCGAAAGATCATGCCAGGGACGAAATGACGATCAAACTACTCCTTCTGGGTGCTGGGGAGTCGGGGAAAAGTACCATATTCAAACAAATGAAACTGCTATATGGCAAAGGGTTTAGTGACGATGACCGTCGAGATTGGGTGCCAAAGATACAGATGGGCGCGATTTCAGCCATGAAGACAGTATGCTCTGCAGCTGCTAAATTCGGCCTCGCCGAAAAGATTAGATTCAAGGGCGCATTTGATAGTATGATTGATGCAAACGAACGTGCACTACTCTCGTTAGAAGTCGCAGAGCATATCAAGGCACTCTGGCAAGAGCCTGGTATTTTGGAGACATGGGATCGCAGAAGTGAGTTTCAAGTGATCGAGAGCAATGAGCTATATTTTCACAAGATTGATCTTCTTGCTTCTCCTGGATATCTTCCCACGGATGAAGACATCCTCGCTTCTCGTGTGCGCACTTGTGGTATTGTAGAGGAAACTTATGTGATCGAGAATGTGGAATTCATAATCATTGATGTTGGGGGCCAACGTAACGAACGTAAAAAGTGGATTCACTGCTTTGACAACGTTAATGCTCTCATCTTTGTTGCGGCTTTGTCAGAATTTGATCAGATGATGTTCGAGGATGAGACACAAAATAGGATGATCGATACTCTGCACCTCTTTGACTCTATTTGCAATTCACGATGGTTCCAGAAGACAGCCATGATTCTTTTTCTGAACAAACGTGATCTTTTTGCCAAAAAGATTTCCAGAAAGGGTATCAGAGATGTAAATGATTGGCAAGACTACCAAGGCAAAGCCAACGATTACGACGATGGCGTAAGCTACTTTCTTAATCAGTTTTTGGAAAAAAATCACCAGAAGAATAAGGATATCTATACCCACGTCACGTGCGCTACGGACACAGAAAACGTGAAGGTGGTTTTCAATGCCTCCAAGGACATAATCCTCAAATTCAATTTGGAAGCATCCGGATTTATGTAATCAACCCATGTAAGTCCTCTTGAACTAAAGCCCTCTAGAAGAGGGAAACAACAACCAGCCAAGCTGTCCTTTCTAAAGCCGTCCTTTCTAAACATGACCTGACCAAATTCATGCTACATTTTTTTCGAAGCACAAAGTGCTAGCTAGTATGCCCCTGGACGTAGTTCTACGCAGCAACCCGGCTCCTCGCCCGTAGGATCGCTTAGCCCTTTCAGCTCCAGAACCCGCGAAAGGCCCGCATGTGCACCCGAGCTGCTTGCTCTCGCTTCCCGGCAATTCTAAGCCCGGCCATCCTAAGCACGCGATGGCTCGATTGGCCAATAGGGAGGTAGGGAGGTTTATGCCCTCATCTTAGTGAACCCAGGCTGCACCTTGACGTCAACGTTGCATGTCAGAGGATTGTCAGGCCCTGTAGGTGGGTTTATACTCCCCGCCTATTAGAGTGACTTAACTGGACTTAACTTGACTTTCCCTTGTTGTACTATCGGCCTATCTGACTATCATACTAGAGAGATAGAGAGTTTTGTATCTCCCTAGTGGCTCGCTGGTACAGAGCCACCCAATTTCCTTCCCCTCCTTAATACTTTCTAACCCTGTTATAGCTGCTTCCCGCACTGTAATAGACGGAGAGTCTTCCTGGACCTAGTGAGGCAGATCCTCTGCCCGTTCGTCCAGTAGCCCCAGCCCCCGTATACTACGGCAGCTGAGGTGACGTGAGGATAACAGAGACGCCGGTGTACCGCCACTGCGTAATCTCGATAGTTCACCCTCACACGGCAGGGCAGCCCCACTAGGCTGCCTCCCCGTGTCGGAGTTTACTATCTCGTTAGGTTTGGGACCCAGCGCTCGGTCTCTCTGCGTAGACCTCACGCATTCTTTTCTTTCGCCTCGCGTTTGCGCTCTTTCCCCGCGCTCAATTGCAGGGGGAGAATGGATCCGAGTGCGGAGCAATTGGACGCCGACGCTAGCGCGGCAGCCGCGGCAGCAGCCCAGGCAGAGGTAGCCAGGGCAGCAGCCCAGGCAGAAGCAGATGCCAAAGAAAAAGCAGAAAAAGCAGCTGAGAATGCTGCGACTCTGGCAGGTATTCTCAGAGCGATTACGGACTCTAGCGACAAAATTGACAAAATGAACTGAAGCTAGACGCTGTTACTTCATCATTGGATACTTAAATGTCAGGGCAGACAAAACAGAGGAAAAACTCAAGAAGCAGAAGGATTTTTTCTCAGGCCGGGCCCTGGCCTGATAGATGAACATAAAGACGACTTAAAGTCTCTCATCCTGGGCACCATGGTGGAAAATAAAGATCAACTATCGATGGTATCCGCCGATGATCTGGACAAACTTTCAAGGGTGTCTGATGGATTTACTGCTGACCTCGATAAAGTTACTCAACAGCTCACTACTACTGATGGGAGGTTAGCTAAGCTCCAGAGCAAGTACGATCAGATACAGGCTTCAGCCTCCTCACCCCAAACGCCAGCATCTAGTGAGCCTATCGAAGCACTTGCTACTATAGTAGCAGGTGTAATAACTAAGTCCAAAACGCCTGGTAGCGACCCACCAGGTGATACTCCGCCTCCTGCAGGTGCAGGTTCAATGGAAGACAATGATCCGAATGCTTACAGCGGCAGTTCATTTCCTAGGCATCTCATATTTTTTGAAGGCAAATCTGCTGACAATGACATTGTTTTTAACCCTCAAGTAAACCCCTCACTGCAGTTGCGTCTTTGGCAGGAGAAATCAGTCTCATTCCCGTACTTTGAAGACCTGTTGCTTCCCGGCCCTGGGAAGGCTACCTGTGTGGCATATTGTTCATTTGCTGACGACCCAATACGAGGTTTTCCATTCGCTCCTTTTGGATTACAGGGCCATCCCAAGCCCATTTCAGTTCTCGCTGGCTCATCTCTTCGCCTGGCCATAGCTTTTTTAGCTTTACGCACCTCCATAGTATCCTCCAAGGCCTCTTTATGGAACTTTCTCTGTGCGTCTAACACCGAGCTTGCTGGCCATGCGCCATAACCGGGGTCTGGGTAGGTGCAGTCCGCAAAAGCAGGATGGGCGTAGTGGGTGAGAGAGGGGGACCTCAGTGTGCTACCTCAAGGTAGCCCAGTCACCACATTGTACCTGGTTGTAAAGGAGGCGGCGTGGCCTACTTAGGCCGCGCCGCCGTGGCCGCTGGTTTACTATCCCGCTCACGAGCGGTAACAGAGCACCCCCCCGCCCCCAGCCAAGCCCCTTAATCCACACGCCCCAGTCGGACAGCGCTGTGTCGCAACCGTGCACTGGCGCTCGTCACCGGCTGGAGAACACGGGCCTCTGGAGCTTGTGGGTTTAGCCAGATTTTGATCAGATGATATGAATTCGCGCATGCCACCGGCGTCCTCGGGCGAGTCTGCAGCCAGGATCATAGAGGTTGGCCTCACTCTGGATCACCGTCAACATCGTCATCGACTTCACGGGAAACCATATCCATCAGTTCATTCAAACAAGCATCTTCGAAGGCTTTGAGCTCAACTATCCTGTTGCGGCTTCGAGTGTGTTCATCCTCCCGATAATTCCGAATGGTTCGCTTACAAAGCGTCTCTTCGTTATTTTTTACTTCGTCTTCGAATTTATAGAGGCGGCCAACATGAATATCGTGCGATCCTGTAATAGCATTCATGCAAGTATCGCGATCGATCAAAAGCGAGCTTGCTTCGTCCGGAATATCACCGGGGAGTTCCTCTTTTGACGCCTTCTCCAATAGCTCATTAACAAGTTGCATAAGATCTCGAGTATAATTGTTTTCATGTTCTTCAACGATTCTGAAGTAACTCTGCTGGCCCTCCAAACAAGAAATCTTGATCTCACTAAATTTATTTTCAAACTTGCCCATTAGATCCTCGAATTGTTCAACTTGCCGCATTTCAAGATCCATCAACGCGCTGGAGAGGTTTGTTAAAGAGACACGCAGGTGGTCGAGGTCGTCCTGTTCTACATGGGATTGAGAGGCAAGCTCTCTTAAGCTACGTTTCTTTGACCTTCCAAAGGTCTCGATCATATTGACCGATTCAGAAGCATATTGCACCCTCAGGTTGTGAACTGCAGTCTCAAACAGTTGAATCTCGCGGGACTTCTGCTGATCCTTTACTAGGCCGGTTTGTAAAAATAAATCGGATGCCGATTCCACCTCGCTCTGGAATGAGTTGACAATGTCACTAATACCCGGCAGATGCTTCAACTTTGTCATTTCAGTGTCCTCAGCAAACATGTCATCAAATATGGTCTCGACAACGGCCAAGTTTGCTGCTCGCAATTTTGCGGTATGTTTTGAAGCGGCGTTCTCTCGTGCTGCTTTCTCCTCTTCCAATGCCTCTTTCTCTTCTACATCGAGAAGTTCATCTTGGTACTGTTCGCGGGCAGCCACGGTTTCTGTTTTTACCACCATCGAATAATCTAAGTAAGTCAGGTCATTGAGATATGCCAAAACATACATTCGATATTCTCCTTCCTTGGACACAGGATTCCCTTCCAAATTTAGAAGCTGCAGATTCTTAAAACATCGCAATTTGACAATGCTATCAAGCGCAACAATGTTATTGTTTCCGAGCGATAAGCATTGCAATTTTCGACAATGGTCTAAGCCCTGTATCTCATCGATCAGATTGTTGAACAGGGAAAGGTCACTCAAATGTTCCAGCTTCTCAAGGCCGTTTATTGCGCTAATACAATTGAAAGATAGATCAAGCCATGTCAAGTTCACCAGGTGATCAAGATTATCGATTGATTTAATAATATTGTTGTCTAGGCACAACTTCCTAAGCGCTTGGAAACCCTGTAAATTGCCAATTTTGAGAATATTCCTGAACGACAAGCATAGGCACGTGGCTTCTGCGACCATATCGGCAAGCGCGGTTGGACTCACATCGAAGCCGGACTCCTTCGACAACTTGAATTCGTCCGAATGGTCCCGCAACGCCGTGGAGATGAGGTTGTCGTCGATGACGGAGACCTCTTCGTTGTCCAAGCTCATGCCACAGCTGTAACGCTTACAGCCGATGAATGATACAAGATATAGAATGATATGGTATAATGAATGATATAGTTGGATTATGCCTTCAACATGGGCTCCACCCAGCTCGGGACTAGCCTAGTCAAGGCCCCCTGCAAAGAATCTGAGTCCCCCCCTCGTGTTGCTAACACCTTGAAGGTGAAGTTGTAACGGATCCAAGTCGCTGGAGTCGGGCATCTTGCCCTCAACTCCTACCTCAACCTCGGATGGCCTCCGGCTAGAGAGATAGAGAGTTTTGTATCTCCCTAGTGGCTCGCTGGTACAGAGCCACCCAATATCCTTCCCCTCCTTAATACTTTCTAACCCTGTTATAGTTGCTTCCCGCACTGTAATAGACGGAGAGTCTTCCTGGACCTAGTGAGGCAGATCCTCTGCCCGTTCGTCCAGTAGCCCCAGCCCCCGTATACTACGGCAGCTGAGGTGACGTGAGGATAACAGAGACGCCGGTGTACCGCCACTGCGTAACCTCGATAGTTCACCCTCACACGGCAGGGCAGCCCCATTAGGCTGCCTCCCCGTGTCGGAGTTTACTATCTCGTTAGGTTTGGGACCCAGCGCTCGGTCTACTCATATTCACTAATAACACAGTCCAATCCTACCTCAGGTGTTCATAAGCTGAGTGTCATAGACCAGGCTTACTCATTCGACAGTTATGTCCACTAGAGAGATAGAGAGTTTTGTCCTCAGGCTTAGTGGCTCGCTGGCTCGCTGGTACAGAGCCACCCAAGATCCCCCCCCCCCCCTTATCAGCCCGAGGTCGACTCTTAGCCCGGCGGGCGAAGCCGGCACCATCCCAGTTCAATAAAGACACACCCTGCCCCGCTGACCTACCCCCTGAGAAGCCGAATTCGCATGTCCACGAGCACATAACATATCCCGCCGGCGAATCGGTGTAGCATTTCAAGGAATTCCTGAAAATTCAAAATCATTCAAGCCGAGTATGATTGAAATATGTTGGGGAGCTTGGTTTTATTTATTCTTTGCTTCGGGAGCATTTGTAATAATTTTATTTTGTACAATTGACCTTTGTTTAAAGTTGAAGCGGCGTTTAACATATCCCGCCGGCGGGATATGTTACACAGCTCGGTGTGGTTGTGCTAGGCATTGTGTCACGTTTTGTGAGACAAGAGAGAAACGACGCG